ATATACAACTAAGTTATGCCATTCTACCGCTCGGGTGAAGACAAATATTTTTTGTAAACTAATAGATTGTAAGTCGATAGTCTTGAAATTTTCAATCTGAAGTTGGTTTTATGTCAGCCACATCTTTCAAGAGGGGCGCAACTTGAGAAATGTCAAACCTTTCCATATCAGCATTATCAACGACCGGCCGTACGTCAAAGTAAGATAACGAACTCGTTAATTCACTATAAAAGCGCTTACAACCTTATTCTCAACATCAGTTTACTAAAACAGTAATCCGAACTACTTAACCATGAAAGCCTTCATCGTCCTCGTTGCTCTGGCTCTGGCCGCTCCCGCTTTCGGTCGCACCATGGACCGTTGCTCCTTGGCCAAGGAGATGTCCGCCCTGGGTGTCCCTCGTGACCAGCTCGCCCGCTGGACTTGCATTGCTGAGCACGAGAGCTCCTACCGCACCGGTGTTGTCGGCCCCACCAACTCGAACGGCTCCAACGACTACGGTATCTTCCAGATCAACAACTACTACTGGTGCCAGCCTTCCAACGGCCGCTTCTCCTACAACGAGTGCAGCATGAGCTGCGACGCCCTCTTGACCGACAACATCACCAACTCCGTCCGTTGCGCCCAGAAGGTCCTCAGCCAGCAGGGTTGGACCGCCTGGTCCACCTGGCACTACTGCAGCGGCTCTCTGCCCAGCATTGACAGCTGCTTCTAAAGCGTTTTTGATATGTTTGAGTGATTACAAAAATAAAAGGTTTCGAAAATAATATAACCATGCTTGTTGTTTATGCTGTTCACGTACAGTACAAGTACGCGTACTATAGTATGAGGCTCGGTTAGTGTCTGTGTCTCAACAAAAATCGTCGTCATTTGATCCGTCGAGTGCTTGAAGCGGCTGGCGCGTGTAGTGACCAATGATGTCATTCTGGTATCTATAGGTACTATATTGAAACTTATACCCTTACGAGTGCCAGACGACGTGTCGCTGCTTACTCAAGCGATAATGCGCTCTTCATACTACAAGTATGTACGTAAGTATTTAGTACTTATTGTACTTATTTGAGATCATGAATAGGTTGTACTTGTATGTTTACTTGCTTCTATCTGAATGTGATAAATGTCAGCAACCCGTTCTCCAGGAATTAAATCAAGTCTCTTACAATAGTTTGATTGCATATCATCCAATGAGCACATCAGTTGTAAGTTGCTCAAATATAGTATTCTTTGCAAGTATTAGTTGTTATCTGAACATGAAAATGTGTCATAATTACTATAATTGTGCGGTTTACAATATCAGGATGGAGCCACAGAATAGTTTGTATTACTAATTGAAGAAAGAACTGCAAATATGTGAAATTATTCTTCTGGTATATTTATTAGATCAACTGGTACCAACAGTATATGAAATCATCTTGTTATACAAAAAGATAAAATATGTACGTATGAATAAGATATCCCTGTGCTTAGTCTTTCAATCCAGACAATATTTCGCATCAATTGAAATTAAAATGCAGCAGCTTATGGCAATAAATTGCAGTACGAAAATTATATTCGATGTTCGAAACTCAGGAATAACTGCGAACTCATTTCAAAAAGTAAGTATATCTGCAAATTAATGACTCGGTCTAGCAGTAAGGCACTTTCTAATTTCTAAAGTTGGCCATTGATGCTAAAGAATATGCATATTTATTCGACTATTCGATCGGATCGGCTTTGACACCGATTGTCACCTAAATATAAAAAAAGCCGAAACAAATTAAGCAACAAAAACATAAAATTAGAAACTTTTGGCTATTGGTCGGGCCATGCACATACTTGTATAAAACTTTGTTTCAGTCATAAAATTAATTTTTTTTTTTGTTTTGCACATTTTCTCTCATAGAAAGTAAATTTAATACTTTGCGTGTCAGTCAAGTCAGGCAGCCGAAAAAATGACGACGGGTCAACGTCAACACTACTTGTAAATAATAACCAGCCCCGGACATGTGTATTCGTTATGATTTGGGTGAGTTGTGGCGGCTCTGATATGTTTGTATATACGATTATACTCGTAGTATATGAAACCGAAACCAGTTGGACGGGTAACCACAGCGACCTCGGTGAAGAACTCGCTATTGATTATGAATCGGTGAATTAATAAAAGCGAAACGCAAATGATGTCAATTCAGACCCACTTCCGCAAGCTTGGATCGAAGAGCGCCTGCACCGGCATCGTGGACAATTATGAGGTCGACTCCGTAAATTGTAGACACAATAATGCCAAATCTATTAGATAAGCCAGCAAATTGAAAAATGCCCTGAGCATCTTCGGAATTGTGCACACGAGATTCGGTTATTAAGGAGAGTGGCACCGCATCGCCAAGAGCCAGAAATTAGGAGAAAGCTCAGCAGTAATTTTCTGAACACCACCGCACCCAATCTCCAGATACATGTGTGCAAAAGCAATTTAACAATTAACCCATTTTATTACAAATCAATCAAATCAAATTTAATTGTACAGCTTAGAAGCAGCTGTCAATGCTGGGCAGAGAGCCGCTGCAGTAGTGCCAGGTGGACCAGGCGGTCCAACCCTGCTGGCTGAGGACCTTCTGGGCGCAACGGACGGAGTTGGTGATGTTGTCGGTCAAGAGGGCGTCGCAGCTCATGCTGCACTCGTTGTAGGAGAAGCGGCCGTTGGAAGGCTGGCACCAGTAGTAGTTGTTGATCTGGAAGATACCGTAGTCGTTGGAGCCGTTCGAGTTGGTGGGGCCGACAACACCGGTGCGGTAGGAGCTCTCGTGCTCAGCAATGCAAGTCCAGCGGGCGAGTTGGTCACGGGGGACACCCAGGGCGGACATCTCCTTGGCCAAGGAGCAACGGTCCATGGTGCGACCGAAAGCGGGAGCGGCCAGAGCCAGGGCAACAAGAACGATGAAAGCCTTCATGATTATAGATTTTCAATTTTCACAAACTGATGCCAAATGCTGGAATATCGGCTACTTTTATAGGCCGAAAACAGCACAACTGATGTTCTATTCGTATCTGAAGTGTTTCTGCTGATAAGCATACAAGTATTATGACATTGTCAAGTAGTTGGCAAGCCAGAAAATAAGACATTTTACCGATTGCCAAGTGTCGTTTCGATCTGGTGAATGAAATAAAGCGCAATCACGGGCTAGCGTCAGCCTCAAAAGAACAAAGTTAAACATAATATGCATGGGTGGGGAAGGGGGGAATTGATAGCGATCGAATTGTTGGTTATGTAATTTGTATGCCCCGCTTAGTACTAGCTTTCAAAGCCAAACTAATGATTTGATTAATGATTGAATGCTGGCTACGCCCAGACAAGGTCTCACTGTTTGAGTCTTGGGCATGCGGAATTATGATAATTGTGTTTCTTCTACATATGTATATCGACTACTTCGATGTGCGACTATGAGTAAATGCGATTTGTATTGGAACAAAAAGAGCAAGACCTAAGTAAGCCCCACAACAATTACAATTTTGGACAAGAGCTAAGCAAATGGTGGTTACTCAATCCACAATTGCTTCATTTGTCAGCCAAAGCGCTAAGTTGTCCAACATCTGTTTCGAAAAGTTTCGAAATACAGGGTCTTTGTCTCTCTGGCTCACATTTAAAGAACAGGCAAGCCTGCCGCTGCCTGACACCTGACCACAAAATCGTATGAAAAAGAAATCTGTTCGGTTTTCTGAATTATTCATGGTCGCCGAAAGTAAGTTGGCCAATGCCCAATGAGTTTGCTTTGCGCTTGCGTGCAGCTTTTGGCCCAGCGTTCCATACCAAGTGCCTCAATGTTGCAAATGTGTGTGTGAGTGTGTGTGTACGTGTATGTATAAGCTATTTATTAACGATTGTTAAATCAGACCGGAACAGTTTTTCATTCGTCTTGGTGTTTTGGTCTTGGGCCAGCGTCTGCGTTGTTTATTTGTTATAAGTATTATTATTTCGTTTCCTTTGTTGTCTCACACTTCTTCTTCTTCTGCAAAACAGACAGCAGCTAAGCAGCTCAGCATAAAGCTCGTGGCCGATGCCGTTGCGCATGCGTCGTCTGGGCCGCAAAATCCAAAGTGGCTTTGTTAGCTACTCGCATCGTACGGCAGCGATTGCGCGTGCTACCATTTCAATTTTCACTATTGTTGTGTGATACAGCTTTCGAGTACAGTTAAACGTAATTTGTTTTATTTTTTCCACTGATGATGAACAAGCTGCGATTTATGTAGGCACAATGTTTTTATAGCCTCGGATGGCCGCACGTTTAAGTAGCTCTTTTCGTTTGGCCAAATATTGTTGGGGCTTGAAGTTTCTTCGGCGTGGGTGTCAAAGCAAACAGTTCAATGCCAGCTTAGCCCACAGACCATACTCAAAGCACAGAGCAGGGGGATTAACAGTTTACAAATCTAACAAACAATATACATACATGCTATATATGCATTTACATATGTACGGGTATGTGTGGAGGGAATGTCAAAAAGAAAGTTTGAAAAAGGTAGCCAGTTAAGCTATTAGCATAATGTATGCCCATATCTTAGAAGTCAGTGGTTGCTGCTCAGAATTATGCTCCGCTGCATTTCGAGCTAAGCCCACCTACAGGTACACTGATAAAAAAAAGCAAATGTCATTTCGTTCACCTTATTTAGCAATCGAACATTTTAAAAATTAAAAAGGATTCATTTTGAAGCAACCTAATTCAATGAAACCAACAAGGATTAATAAAAATTGCGAATTTCAATCAAGCATATGAGGAGGGAGGAATGTTGATGTTTCATGGTGGTCTTCTGCAGATTTCCATATATAAACAATTTGAATAACACCCGTTGAACGAATTTCTGAGTTAGCCGTGCCGTTCTAACCACTTCTAAACGCCTTACATCTAAAATTCCCTTTTGTTTTTGCGTGCAGAATAACCAACGTATCGTGTAATTCGTGATTCGTTGATTGCTCTTGACCCTGTAACTCCGCTAAGAGCTAGGAATCGCATGCACCAATTCGATTTGCTTACCTCTATTCTTTATTATTCTGATTATTTGTATCATGCGTTTTTCTACGCCAGCATGCCCGAAATCCACTTTGAAGCGAGCAATGTAGCGAGTATTGACACCAATTTAAATCGGGTCGCTGCAGAGTGTTCTTAAAAATGTTGGCACACACGCGTACACATACACATTAGCACACTAACACTAGCACATGCTTAGCACGCACACACACTTTTCATATTTCTTTGCCTTGCACTTGGCTTGCCGTCGTCATCGTCATCGAACACACTTGCATTGCATTGCATCGAACCATAAATTGAGAAGATTAGCGCAAAGAGAACTGGGAAGATGTATCTAGGAGCATGCTAGTGAATTGTAGTAGGTTGCAGTTAAAGTCGATGCTGCAATAGCCCAGGCCAGGCCAGGCCAGTCGACAGTCCGCCGTGCGCGGCGAAAAAAAGTTGTACTCGTTTTACCGTTAGAACGCAATCTGCGCCCGCGAGATGCTGTTACGAGACAGCGCTGTCCAGCACTCAGCACTTTTCTAATAAAACTTGTTTCTTATTTTTTGCCTGTGCCTGTGCATGTGCCTCTGCCTCTCGAGAATGCAACAGTAACAAAAGCAACAACAACAACAGCAGCAGCAATAAGAAAAAAATAGCGTAATCGCCTGACACACGTAACAAGGTGAGCGGAGTCTATAGAACAAAATTAGCAGTTAAATGCGCCCATTTAGAAAAATCTTTCGGTGATATATTTGCAGTTCTCGCGAATGAACTTTGGTTAGTTTTCGAATGCTGCTAACCAAGCCATCGTTCGGTTTGTTTGTTTGTTTGTTTTATTGGATTTAAAACTGCAAAACACTTCGGAACAGCGTCGCAAACAAATTCGAGTTTGGAATCGAAGTCGAGCGCACTGAACGTCCGTTTCGTTGTAAAGTCTCGCACCAACTGATCCGAAGGCAAAGCCAGCCACAAAACTGGGCTCAGAGCCGAGCCAGTCTTACTAACCGAAGACATTTGACTTGTTTGATTCACCATCTCTTCCTATCTGTCTCTCTTTGACACATTCCGTCGCTCTTAAGACTTCAGCTTAGCATTGAACTTGTCTTAAAATTGTCTATCAGGCTTTGTATAAGACTTGTGAAGTGGGTGCGCTGCATTCATGTGTTAGTGTTATTCTAAATCGAAAACGAATATACTTGTATGTATACTTGTACTTAGTGTTGACTTTACTGATATGAATATGTTATGGCATCAAATTTGAAAAATTAAACTTCAACAAAAAAAAATTGCTTATTTACTACATTATTTAATAAAATTAAAGCAAAAATCGTGTGCGGTAAAAAGTATTGCAGTTTGTTAGAAGTGTTTCTGAAGTTTCTGAAAGTTGAAGATTAGTCTTATACGCCTATGTATGTAATTGAGTTTAAAGCTGTCTGCGGTGATTAACAGACAACGTTCAGTAGAAGAACAGTGTTTAATGGGGCCTAAAAGTATGCAACAAAACTTTACTAGTCCCACTGCTGATTGCTATAGCACTCCACCATCATGTATGTATGTATGTACTTATAAAGTATGCTGCTTCTGCTGTTGTAATATTTGTGTACAACAAATGTGCCAAGAACATTACAAAATACAATAATCAAAAATTAACTTATCTCAATACCTACGCTGCGGGCACTCCAAGGTCAAAGAACCCATAACCCACAGCGCTCAACTTCATTATTACCTATGGTAATAATTTTTTTTTAAACGTAATTAAGATAACCGCATAACGATTTTAAAATCGTTAAAATAATGTTTACATTTTAGGACGACCTTTTATTTAGTCGACTACAAAAAATATTACTTATTTGCAAATAATGTTAAAACTAAAGCTTAACTAATTTGGAATGTACGCGACAGTCAAAGGAAGGAGTATAGCCATGTTCGATTGGCATGTGAACAAATTATTAAGATGTACTTGTATGTATGAATATAGATTGGTTATTTCATAGTCAAAGAGCTAAGATGATTTGCCAAAGCTATGTGCGCTCCAATGTATCTTAAAAAGAAAACATTGTGGCCATGATTCACGCAGTTAATACACATGTACCTTATTATCTCACTCTAGTAAGTAGTACAGATTAAAAGATTAAAGAGACAGAGGGACGAAAGGGGTGGGCGGACTGATGGACATCATACTTGTATACGAGTAGGTAATAAAACAAATTTGGTCAGTCCAAAAAAAGTTACTTCCATCTACAAGTATGTTTCTCCATCGTTAGATGTAAAGATTTCGATATTTCGATCTCTTGTAATGTAATAGTGGAGCACTAGTGAAGCACACCAAAGAACATGGATACTTTTTCTTCAATGCCTCAATAAAATATTTTCATTCTTTCTTTCTTCCATAGTGGTTTCATTATGGAGTGGTAGACGTCTTTTGGAATACCGATCCGTAAAAGCCTATTAAGTAACCAATTTCTCTTTACTTGTATTCATGTGGGCCAACACTTTAGCGCGCAAATGAAAAAGTATAGTACCCGTATGTACTATCTTCGCAGAATTCAGCCTTCTGAGCGTGAAGCTTAGCTTCGCTGACATGTGCAATGAATTGAATGTTGGTTGGTGACACGAAAAAAGAAATTTTGTTTTGGGCAGGCACTTACCTTGGACACATTGATTTTGGTGGCTCGAATATCGAATCGAGTGAATAATTGTCAGCGATTGAGCTGTAGTCGTTCGTTTGGGCGCCCGGCACCCCCCTCTCATCGCAGTAACTGCAACTGCAGCAGGAATACTGCGAGCAGTAAGAGGAGGCATCAATGTCGGTGATGCCGATGGAGCACTCTTCGTTGACGTTGTCGGGCGGTCGGTCTGGCCGTCGAGACTGCACTTCGTTTGGAACCTCTTTCTGGGGCGACGACGCATTGCGAGATGAACGACTGTTGCGACTGCAAGATATCGGCGTGGCATTAACCAACTGGCTATGTTTGTGCATTGCATACCAATTACCTCTTGGTGCGTGTGTCCATTGTGTCCATGACTACGTTCCAGGTGCGGTGTATTAAGTAGAGCAGAAACAGAACTCGCGATGTCTCGCCACTGGTTGGAGTTGCTGTGGCCGCTCCGTCGGCGGGCAGTGGAGCACCACCCGGTCCACCACCTGTGGCCAAACAGCCGCTGGAGCCCACACGCTGATTGGACGACTTTCCCGTCTCGTCGTGAGCTCCGCGACGTGCTGGCAGTGTCTTGGAGCGATACTCATCCTGCAGACAATATTCGCGCTTGTGCTGCTGATAACGCCGTCGGGTGTTGAACTGCGACGCACCGGGGGAGTCGCCATGAATGCCACTGCCCATACGATTGCCCATGATGTCGCTGATGAAGATTATATTGAGCTGCGCTTGTCATGCATTGCCTAATAGGATGGAGAAGAGGAACACTTGTAAGTTTATATGTTAATACATTCAGAGGGGCATGTCGGCTGCTGCCTTACTGTCAGACCCACTCATCCCAAGTCGGCCGCCCCAAACAGCAACCAGTTCCCAACTAAGCGAAAAAGTGAACGCCAGCCACGCACATACTTGTATGAACGCTTTGGCAGATGGAAAGGGTGGCGGGGAAAGCCAGCAGAATTGGGTCAACGAGTTCTTGGAGCCCGTTCGAGCCATCAATTGAGGTCAACGCTGGAGTGGCACACAACGAAATGCCTGTAAATGGCAGCATGAATAACAAGGCTGCTCCTGCTGTTGGTCCATAGCTGCTGGTCCATGGCTGGTCCGGCAGCCGTTCTGGCTCACTGGCCTGTTCTTTGTTCGTAATTATGATAAAGTATCCATTGAAGTAATGATGGATTGCTTGCACCAGTTAGGTAGTTTAGACATGGACAACATGATTGCATGCGCGCTGCTATGGCGAATCTAAATTGCTTGAATGATGCCACTGCAGATGGATGACACAGAGAACACAACATTACCGATTTAATTGCAAGGCAGACTCAGACCTATAGCAGCACACATCCCAGCTGATAGTCCGCCGAAACATTCATTCTTCAAATTGACGCCCTGAGCAATATGTCTGATCTCCCAACACCTCCGCGTAACCCCGAGCTTCTGTGCACATGAATTATGCAAATTTGGACGATAGTGGCACTAAACCATGCCTCCTTATCAGCAGTTGCTTGGCGTCGCAGCTACACCGAAAGCCGCCACCAGATTACAACCGCTGACTATATGCGGTCTCAGCACTATCTGTGAAGTGGACAGAACTGCTGCTTCAGGTTGGGTGGAATCAGGCCAACCACTCTTCCCATGGGCAAGTGAAGAAACCACTCTATTAACCGCATTTGCGACATTAATTTGAAAAACAATTCCATTGCATTTTGGTTTCAAAAATTCATTTTTTAATATGGGAACCAAATTTATTCATAATGTAGATTGTGGTAATAACTCCATCAGACAATCGATTGCTCTACAAGTATATTATAGTGACATATAAATGTCTAGACTCCAGAAACACACTATATGCATATGTTTTTCTTCATCCGAAAATAATCAGTTAGGCATCTCATAAAAAGTCTCGAGTGAAGCTTGGAGCGCTGATAAAAATGTAGGAATTTTTCCAACAGTACCGTAGAACTTACTGAGAGCGTAGTTGCTCACAAAATGGCTTCGCACTGCATAATGGCTAAAAGCACTTATAATGATCACGTGCTGATATGACAACACTCTAAAGGCGTCAACAGCAACTCTAGGTGGCTGAAATGCAAGGCAACAACCGAAATCTAGTCTAGTTCTCTCACCGATCTATAATTAGAGCTATCAGAAGGGTGCTCTAAATGGAAACTTGTGACAAAGCTATAGTTTAGAAACTAATTCTGTTTTTACACGGTTTTGATTTAACACGGTTTGAAAATTAAAAATAACAATTCAAAATAACATATGATTAATGTCTTTTTTACACAACGTTTTCTGGAACCAATCTACCGTGTACAAACAGAGTTAGGTGTATACTGATATGGTACACTTTATGAAGCATTTTTGTTTTATTCAATAGGTTATTTCAAGGTAAAATTAATAGTAGCTTAATTAATTAATAGCTAGAAATTTGTTTTTTGTTTTATTCAACAGGTTATTTCAAGGTAAAATTAATAGTGGCTTAATTTATTAATAGCCTAAAATTTGTTTGCGCATTGCCTGGTCTTCTTAGATGTGTCCAAAATTATGAAAGTTTAATCGAGAATGGAATTTATGTTGAAGACTACTACTAACTTAATCATTTGATAGAAATGCAAATACATTTTGAATGGATTATCATTCAGAAAATGAAAAGTATGCTCAAATATTTACATTTCAAGTATGAATAGAATCGAGGTGGGCTGATAAGAGCAGGCGCTACTTAATGCCGTGGAATTGTGTTTATGCAAATGTCAGTTGTAAAGTTAGGGGGGAACCAGTTTAGTTTGAAAAGAAGCATAAACAGCACCAACAAAAGAACTTTTCCAGTGAAAGTGACTCAAAGAGTTCGAAAGTATTCAAATGAGGCACTCATGGGCCTACTTATTAAGGTAGGTTTGGAAACCTGTAAGAGTCCCACTGTGCCGCTTTCGTTAGAAGAAGAACAGAGCACCTGCACCTATGAAAGACTGGAGCGCCAATTAAACTACTCGGACAGGCGTGTGGTTTATCTTATCAACCCAGACGATCGCCGAGAACACCAAAAGTCAAACAAATGTTAACTATAGGTCGAGTTAGAGTGAGTGCTGGAGGTGCTGAGGTGGTTGCGGTTGTCATTGCTGTGGCTATAGCTGTTAGGGTTGCTCGTCATCAGTCTCGTTTGGAACGATCGCGCGAGAGGAGCTTTCCACACGGTGCGCTGCGACACAGAAGCCAGAACCAGAACCAGTCTGCATTTGGACTACAACTAATTGGAGTACGGAATTCCAGCAGAGAAATGAGTCAAGCTCAAGCTCAAGCTCAGCTTAATACCGAGCAGCTGCTGTTCGAGGAGAAGCCGCTGCATGTGCCTCCGCTAGCGGAGCTGAAAAATGGTGAGCAAAAAGTTCCCAAAAAAAAGAAGAAAAGTGTACAAATGTGGCACACACAGCGAATGACCTTCAGAGCCGGTTTTCATAAACACAAATCATATGGTTGGCCAGAGAGCTTTTGCGAAGCTTTTATTTTGGCAAATACAACCTACATAGCAGCAGAGATAGAGTGCGATGCTAACGATACGACAACGAGCTTTCGAAATTTAAAAATTCTCACTCTTTCTTATTGGCAGTCATTCAGGGCGCATTGGACAAAAATTTCTCCACGGTCAGCGTCAGCGTAGAGGCTTGTCCCGATTTGAAGGCCCAAGAGTTTGGTCTGGTAGAGTCAGGTAAGCTATAGTCATGCCCCAACTAAAAACGAGCACCCCCTGACCCCTTACCATTAGGATTGAGCGGTTCGCCAACACTACTGGAGGTTGGCGGTCCACCGTTCCTGTTGCCGTTGGTGCAACGTCAAAAGCTGTACAACATCAAGGAGATTACTCGCAAGATTCTGGGGCCTGGCAAAATATTCGCTGTCGGCGCAGGCGCCGGCCCCTATCCCATACGTAGCTCCAACTGCGAGGGCATCTACAATCTGGCCGTGGATGCTAATGATGTGCTCACGAATGGCAGCTACACGGCCACTGTGCGGGGTGCGCAAGAGGAGTGCGTGTTGGAACGCATACCAGACACAGAGCCTCGTTGTGCCTTGCTACTCAACCTGTTTCTCAGTCGCGGTCAGCCCGGGCAGGTGCTGAAGATCAGCGCGAAGCAGCGCAAGGGCGACCTCAACTTTATCGAAAGCATACGCAAGGGCTTGGAGCACCACTATGGCGATAAAGTGGTTGGTCTGGGTGGCATCTTTGTGATTAAGCGAGGTGCCGCCCACCAGCATGTGATGCGCGACTTTAGCAAGACGCCCATTCATACGGATGAGGAGGTCAATCAATGGCTAAAGTTCTATGAGATGCCAGCCCAGCTTAATGCCGTCGGCACCCTGATCACCAAGGAGCATGTAAGTCCAAATATCATCTCATTCAGAGCTCAGTAAGGGGTAAGGTTTTGAAAAACGAATCTCATTTTTTAAAAGAGAATCATACCTTCTTATGTTTATTTTCTTGAATTTCATGTTTAACTTAACTATATCCGAACAAAGACAATTCTTTGGAATATCAGAAGCAATTCAAATATACGACCATTTATGTATATTTTTCATGTTTATAGAAGACTAAAGTAGAACATTCCAAAACGAACTACAAAGTTAACTTCTTCTCAGCCATTATACGAGTATACGCTTCATTGTTTTGGTTTGCATTGAAACAAGTGGTTATAGGTCACGAACTACTCGTGAAACATGTGAAACGAGTCATAAAAAAATATTAAAGATTCGTGTAACCTATTGACCCAACCTTTATACCCTTTACCGAGCACTTTCCCCGCAACTTCATTCATACGACAGCTTTATGATAAAGTTCACCGATTTTAATCAACTTTAAGCTCATTCTCAAAATGATTTTTGAACGGTTCGTTGTCTTTTTAGCTATATACTGTAGTTATCCGATTTGCTTATGAATTTTGTCTTAATAAACAAACTAGAGGTAATACCCTATGCCCAATCCCAAAGAAAAACCTTTTAGAATTTAGGACTTTGGAAAATCTGTATTCCATGTTTGGTTAGCTCCTATACTTTCTGAGATGGTATATCGGTATATCGACTCGGCTTGTCATCCTGATCAAGAATACTATACATATACATATATACTTTTTGGGGTCTGCCACGCCTCCCCTTCTGTGTGTTACAAATATTGGCACAATCCTTTGGGTACAGGGTATAAAAACATTCTTAATATGGACTGACGAATTTTGTTAAAATGGTTTCATACAAAAAAGTGAATGAAATATTTTATTTTGGAAGGGTAAATGCGAGATATTTGATCTCACTGTTTAAATCGCATTTTCACTTTTGCAAAGTTTAATTAACACTTATTTCTCAATTTTTTGATGGCATAATTAATAAAAGTGCAAAGAAATCGATTCAAGGTTTTATGATAACTTGAAAATACTTGATTGGAAAGCTGCAAAAACGTATACTATATACATACTAAATGGGCTCAAATTATTCATACACAAAACATAGTACCATAGAATATTGTAATACATATTAAAGAGATAATACGTTTCGTAAATCTACAATGCTCTTCAAATATACATACTTATTTATACTATAATTTCGGCGAGGGTAAAAAGTAATACTACTGATCACCTATTGAATTATTTTTTGGCAGGACTTGGATCTGCGGCTACAACACTTCCATTCTTTCTCGTTCTCCAACTGGGGCGGTCACTACCACTACGACACCACCCCCGACATTGTGGAGTACGAAGCCTATCTGAATGTGGCGGAGCGGGTGGTGCGTGTGGACAAGCCGCTGGACACACACAAAGTGGGCAGAGATTAAATAAATTCCATTATAAACAGTAATTAAATAACACAGTTTACAGAAAAAAAGTGCAAAATGTTTCGTTTCTTCGTATTCTTTGTTTTCTTGGCTGTTGGATTTATGGCTTGTCTGTTTGTTTGTTTGTTTTGGCAATTGCTTCGTTTTATCAGATCGCTTACGGCGCCGTCGAAAGATTGTTTTACGTAACGGCTAAATGGCAAGCCGTACACCTAAATGAATTGGCGGCTGGCTTTGTGGCTGCCCGACTTTCCCAGCTCAATATCGATGGAGACGAAGATGGCTTTCGAAACACTTTTCAGTTTCAGGTCTGCCAGCTCAATTTGCAAAAGTGAGGCACCGTTTTGGCCTTCGCATTTCCCTAGCACCGATTAGAGTAGCTGTGGGTTCTGGCCTTATAATTTTACACGTCTTTCTTAATTTCCGAACAGCTAATGAGAGACACGGCGGCTAGCTAAGCAGGCCGCTAATAATTTTGCAAGCACACAGTCGTTGAAATTTTTCTGCACCTGCCGCGCACCGCTGGCCATTAATTATTTAATAGCTTTGATTTATGCACTGGCCGTCGAACGTTTGCCGTGCACTAAGTACAGCGATTAGTTTTAGCCAGCACTCAAAACATGGCACATCTGTCTTTCAAAATGATTCATTCGAGTTTGGCCGGCAGTTGCAATTGAAAATCGCATGCCAGCAACACAGCTGTCAATTCCTCAATGTGTCATGCAATGCCTCATAACTTCCAATCAAAATATTGCAACTCGTTTCATATTTAAATGAGAATATTTTCAATTCGTTATGTAGATTCGCCTACACGAGCACTATACTCGTACGTGGAAGGTGCACAAAAGTTTTGAATAACAAAGCACTCGGCGGACGGTGAAAGCATCGCGTGCTTCAAATATCACTCTAAACTCTCCCTTAAGTGTTTGGACATCTGGTTAAGCAAATTTGCCACTATATAGCTAATTTTTGAGGCCAGCAAAAAAGCTCAAGCACCACAATGAACAGATGACATCCATCCAATAATGATTGCATTGAAGGCAATGTTTGTTTTAAGAAGTAACGATTGAATAATTCTAAAAAATCACTCAATTTTCAAAACTATAATAAATAATTACAAGTATATACAAGTATTTGGACGAACATTCTCAAAGTTATAATTAGAAAAAATAAATCCTAGTACGCATAAGACTAGGGATTATTATATTCTGTACAAAGTGAACAATTTAATAATACATATTCTTGATCAGCATGACAAGGCGAATCGATCTGGCTGTCTGTCTGACCGTCCTTATACACATGCGTTGCATGGCAACTGGTAAATTATAGGGAAGTTAAGAGTTTTAAGTTAGGCCCATTAACAAAAACAAAATTAGTTTTCATTTGAATTTTGTTCTCTTTAAATGTTTACGAATTTTTAGAGACTGTGGGAAACCTAGCTTATTAATGTAAATGAGCCTAATAACAGTAAAATTAATCAAAAAGAAAGTAATAATCGGACACTTTAGCATTATCATAAAAACTCTCCGATAGATGCAATTCCTCGATTTTGGAACTCTTTAAAAAAGCATTGTGCGGAATAAATTGATATTTCAATAAAAGACATTACACATTAGCTTTGTGAGACTTCTGTCATTAAAAGCCTTGATAGCCAAAAAAAAGTACTGTATTTCGTTTTCCTGTTCCTTAGAAAAAACAAACAAGAGTCAAAGCTAAAGCTGGATGCCCCGACTTTAAAAAAACACTGTACCAATGTGTGGAATAATTATATAAATTGCAAAAAAAGGAAATATTAATAAAACAAAAAACAAATGCTAGAGCCGACCGGACTCAACTCTTAAATATCCTGTACACCCACAAAAAATAATGAAAACAAAAAAATTAAATAAACTAAATTAAATAAAAAGTATCTAGTATATAGAGACATATGTTTATGTGAAGTTTGGATTGTGTCTATGCGTGCTTATGCGTGGTAAGAATTACCGGACCTATGAAAAATCCCTAATAGCATGGGAATGGAAAGAGGGAGAATAATTTTCTAGTTCCCGAGATCTATTTGTTTATACAAATGGTGTTACAAACATAAGGTATCTGTATACAAAATTTGGTGTCTCTAGGTTTTATAATCATTGTTCATACGTCCGTACACAAACAAACAGATCGAGAGATAGACAGACTGACAGTCCTGATCGATTCGATTTTAATCAGAACCTCGTTGTTGGTTTATGATTAGGGCAAATAGAAATTTTATCAAATTAAAGTGCTTTAATTAAATCAATAAAATATAATTAATATTTGAACATTGATAACAATAGAGTTCAAAATTAGACCGAAGTCTTTTCAATATAGTTAGTGCATAGTATAGTTTGAAGTGAAACTAACTAGTTTTTCATGTGTCTTGTTTACTACAAAGATTCCCCCAAAATATATATATATTAGATATTACACAATATCTTAAAAGAAGTAAATAAGCGAACCCAATCGGAATTATATTTCAATCTTTACTGATAACAAAAATGTGCAAAACATCATCTCACATTTCTAAAGGTTCTAAAGGTCGGTTTTTATCAGAACCTTGTTATTGCTTCATGATTGAGAAAATAAAAATTTCGTCAATCCTGGTATTAACATGTATTTTTGAACTATAGAAGTGAACTGAGGTATTTAAATGTATCTAAAGAATAAAATATGTTTATAATATTGATATCACCTTACCCGCAAATCGCTTCAAAGTTTCCACCCACTTTGCGTTATCATACGACGTTGTTTTTGTTATTCTTCTTTGACTTTTTCACTAAATATTGCTTAGATATTGGATAGACTTGACCAAACGTGTTAGCATTTGCATTTAAATGCTTGGTATCGAAGCAATTTTTGGGGTCGCTTTTTGGCTGATTAACGACCGGCCAAAGCACATAACGGTTTTCTAATATTTGCATTTATTATTCAAATGATCTTTCTTTGGCCTTTTCATTCAGAAACAAAATAAATAAAAAGTGGCACTGCAAAGGGACTGAGCCGATTCGTTTTAAAAACACACACACAACACACATCGATCGATTGATCCAATTTAATCTTCCATCGGAACCACAGAAAGACAAACTGAAGTTGAAAATGAAGAATCACAACGAATGAAAAAGAGAGAAATGCAAATGCGATTTCGCTGCCCGTCGCGCGTTTTCAGAGCTGCCCACATCCACATAGAGGAAAATTGGTTTATGCTGTTGTTGTGGTTGTAGTCGTTGCCCAAGCTGCTTCCATATTTATTCACACTATTAGCACTTTTTATTATGTGGTTCGTTTTATAATGTGACCGACCGGCCGGCCCGAGGGTGCAGTAGCTCCACTTTTCGATTTATTTTCACTTTGTAGCGCGGCCACGTCCGCTCGGTCCAAAAGCGCTTTGCAGACTGAAAAAGCTGAAGTTGAAGTTAACTCGAAGTCGAAGAAAAAGTCGCTTCTGGCTTGCTTGATTTCCAAGCTCAGCTCTGAACAGCCGAAGACGAAGTTTTGTGTCTAGGTCGGCGACGCGCCTTGGTTTTTGGTTCTGCGCATTCGCCTGACTTCAAATTGCCGCTTAATCTCAGCGTGGACTAATTTTTTCAAGTAACATCAAATTGGTTTTAACTAAATGGCATCATATCAAATTGAGCAGTCCAATCATTTGATGTATGCATATACATACATACATATGTACATATATACGTAAGTGTTCATTTGGCGGTACCCACAACCTGTCCGCGTTAAATGCAGTGTGCATTAGTTTAACCTGTTCCCGATGTCAAGGCACTGTTTAGCTCTGTCAGTATCCAATGTTGGCCAAAACAACGCTGACAACTACACGACACGAATTAGTTAATGACGCATAAGGCGGGCAGGCCAAGTGCCCCATGGCGGCGACAACAACCAGCCCCCAACTTTGGCTGCCACTAACCGTTCAGTGAACCCCAAAGGAAAAGCAGCAACCATGTGCAAGTCTCTGCGTATATTGGTAAATGGTTAAATTGAATTTCGAACACCACAGACATGATTACATTTTCCGAGCCAAGCATTAAACAATATGTATATGCTTTTGTCAAAGCAATTAATGTTAAGACAGTGTGCTCTATATTCATCTGGTGTTATCTTTAATCATTTCAGACTAAATTAACTCTTTCTAAGTCAGATAATATTCATATCTACCAATTTCTGCTACGATAGACGCTTTACAGTCTCTTCAACATTTTTGTGCTGAGGAAAAGTGTTTAATTGCTAACATTGTAGACTTTAAATCCTATTGGGGTAATGTTCTTCTGCATCTTAATATCTAGACCTTATGCACCTTGGCCGAAGTAGTCCTAAAATTAGATTTAAATACGTAATCTAAAGAATTGCAGTTATTCTCCGATTTTATTATCTTGCTCTCTACGCTAAAACGATAACAATATATAAACAGTTTATAGATTATGACAGACAAATAATAAAAGGGCAACCATTATAATACTCCGACATAATCTATTTAAATAAAAAATTGCATTTGATGCCAACTAAAATGGAGTAATCGGTTTAAACAAGGCAATAAAATATTATTGGACACGCACATCCGCTCTACCACATGTTTTGATGTATTTTGTATATTATACAATATAGTTTTTCAAAGTTGTAGTGACAATAAATCAAATGCAGTTATGTAGGTTCGCGCTCGTGCAGAAAAACATAAATGCAAAGGCAATGGCTAGGAGGTTTGGTTCTGGATGTGACGCATTACCGGCAGTTTAAGCTGCGCCCGATTGTTAACCAACTTATTGATAACGTACCAGCTTCGGTAGAGGGGCATAGGAAGCTTTCACGGGGGTCGCAATGCCCTGAGAGCTGTGGGGGTAAAGAACAATTTTTAGTTAAGTTTGCAGACTTTTGAAATTTAACGTACCGCCAGAACAAGGAACTGCCGCGTTTCAGTTCGCTGCGAGCCTGCAAATCATTCCAGCAATCGACCCAATTGTTGTAAGCTGGCATAATCGGTGGTTGGCCAGCCATCAGGCGTGAGCCACTAACTGCTGTGCATGTGGAGACCACTTGCAAGGGATACAGAATGCTAGAAAAGGCAAACTGTGTGAAGCCCGCATTGTACTGCCTGCCCAACTTGTCCTTGATCACATATTTGTTCAAGATATAGACCGTGGAGCTAGTCAAAACCAAACACACCACATCACACAAAAGTTTTGGGATGAGGCCAGCAAAGAAACCCAAAATGCCTTCAGTCTTCCAGATCTCGGATATCGAGCCAATAATAGAGGTATATAGTGTTTCTCGTCCCACAAATTGTGCCATCATACGCAACGAAATCACGTGAAACGGATGCGCGATCACAATGCCGCTAACAGTTAAAACAATATCGCGCTTTAAATTGATCTTGAATTGCGCATAGCTGAAAGGCAAAGTTTTTTAGAAGGCTATATCTGGCAGCCTGGCAATTGCAATATTACATTTCCTCATCACTCAGGTCGGACTCATCCTTCATGTCATCCTGTTGCGGAAGTCCCAACTTCTCAGCAATACGCTCACTAACCACAAGGCTTAGAACTGATCCTACCAGCTTGGGAGTCAGGCCGCGATAGCAACCGGCAAAACCATCAATCTTGCGTATGTGACCGGCTGCAAAAACGCAAATGTAAACAAAGAAAAATCAATTTTGCGTCTAATTGCCGGCAACATCAGACTTATCGCACATACCATACTGAAAGATGTTCGGCAACGTCATAATGGGCTTTCCCAGCAACGACCTGCCTGGGCGGGCTGCTATGGGCTCATACCCCAGCTGTATCAGTGTTTTCGAATAGTCAAATGGATGTAGCGCCGCGCTAACTCCCAAACGGAAGCCAAATCGAATCCAACCATTGACCTCTGTATCCTCATTTCTGACGGTATCTGGAAAAGATGCCATTTCACCCGTTTTACCTGCCTTTGTGGTGTGGATGTGTATATTTCGGATTCAAATTTAGAAACGAGCTGAGCGAAATTATTATAACTATAACTATAACTGAACTATAACTTCATCAGATTACATCAAAACCTTCTGACAGGCAAAACATCGATACATAAAAATGTCAGGGCTTCGCATTTGAAAGCATCGATATTTTACAAGTCTATAAAATGCCAGTGCTGGATAATTTCAGCACTGCCGTTTTTTTTTTGAGGGGGCTGCTAACTTATTTCTTTTACAGCTGTAGCTATTGCCTCCCAGACCCCATAAGACGACTATCAGTGTGCGACGGTTCCTGTTCCGAAATATAGTTCTAAAGAGGCGAGGAAAAAGTGAACAGTGCAGAAATTAAATAGATTCCATTTAAAGTTGACACATTTGCCAAAGACCCACAAACATATAGATTACAAATTACGTGCCATTCGACCAAATCTTACTAAAAGCGACACGAATAATTGGCGTAATTAAATATGTTTTCAACTAAGTATATTATATGCACTACACTGCTGTTGTGTTGGAGCTTGACTGGTGAGTAAAACTACCCGAACTTCGTCCCCTAAGCCCCAGACCTAACGTCACTCTACATTGGAAGTCTTTGTTCAATTTGCTTGTTCATCGCAATTTAATTTTTTAATTTTTTTCTGCTTCCATCCATGTATTTGCGTCTCGCTTGTGCTCACGCACGTAACCCATTCGCTTGACTATTGTCGTTTTATCTACAAGTGTCGTCGTGTTTTGCAAAGGGGGTTGGAGGTGTAAAGTAGTAGTATGTTAAAAACAAAATCACAAGCAAAAAAATGATGCGTCGTAATTAATATTGGTTCTAATTTTGCGTGATTCATGCGCATTTCGCTAATCCACATTCTCTTAACCTCCGTTCGGCATTCTGTGGATTTTGTTATGTATTTCACATGTACATGCATATGTACATATGTATGTATGTATGTATGTATATATTTACATACGACATGTACATATTTACATACATACATATATATTTCATCACTGCAAGCAAAGCGGTGGCTGTGACAAAATGGTGACTGGATGCCGTTATATAGCAGCTGACAAGTGCAACAGTCGCCCCCTCCTTTATGCACTACTATCTGCGCTTTATCTTCCTCCGTCTTGACTTATCTAACCAGCAAAGTATAATCGTACAATGGCTGTAGACTGCCTGCTGCTTCCAAAACAAAAACAAGATCTACAGCGAGCAATTCAAGTTTGATTCCCTCTCCCAGCTAGTCCATCAGTCTTTGAATCATCCACCCGAGTTTATACTCTCGCCCCTACATACACCTAACTATGCAGGCACATTGAATTCCCAAATCGTTGCTTCGCCTTGCCCTTAGCATTCTCGCCCGCTTTCTTCTCTCACTCGATTGCTCTTTACTTTGTTGTTTGCTGTCGTCGCCTTTGTGCGCTGCGACGCAACTATATAATTATATTTGATTCACAGCAGCGTTTAAATTGTTATTTATTTGCCTAACTTGCTACATACATGTATATAATATATTCATACTCTTAAAATGTTTCATACGGCTTATCTCGCGCCATATCGGTGAACGGAATGAAAAATGTTGGTTTTAGGGTCCGGCCAGTTGTGCCGTGTCGGCTTGTGCGTGCCTACCTTACTATGTGTGAATGTATGTAGAGGGAATCCCCTTAATAACTGAAAAGTTCATACAGATTTAAACAAAACTATCTGGAATACCTGTGAATATATTTTTTTAAATTGACATTATTGTTACTTTGAATTTATACTGAATTGCAATGTCAATTTATAGCCAAGCGGTATTTTGTTTTAGGCACGAAAGCATAGTATAGTTAATGTTAAATGCTATAGCACGACTTATCACTAAATATCTGTAACTTTCTATTGCATTTAATGATTATTATTATTTAAATTTACACACGCCAGTTTTTTATTCTAGAAGCATTCTCTAGGGCCTTCGCTAATTTAAAATAAATCTCTGTTCCCCTCTTACCGAACCCGTTGCTTCCATTGCATTCCAATCACATGAGATTATTTTTCCACAATTTTCTTATGCCAAGCGTGGGGTGAAAATTCTATAACATGTCTGACAGCCACGCCTATTCTCCAACTAGTTAGTTGGCTACCACAACCCATCGTCCCTTTTTTGCTTGTGCTGCACTCAACTTGCATTTAAAGGTCATCTTCGGTTGCACCGCTAAAATGGCATTGAACTAGAATGGTGTGCGATGGGAAAGGAGGAGGGGCAAAGCGCGGGTGGCAGTCACAAACCGCAAAACATTTGTGCAACAGAATGCGTTATTGACTGGGTTGGAGCGGGGTATAAAGTCTAAGGCAAACAGGCGTTAAAGAAGCTTGAGCTGAAATTAAATTAAGGCGCGTGTTGAGTCATCAACAAAATGGCAGAAATATTTTCTGCCCTTTCATATTGGTTTGCATAGCCACCAACTGTACATATGTACGTATATATACATATGTATATAAGTATGTATGTATGCATGTATGAGCTAGATAAAGTGCTGACTAAACAACAACAACTGCAAACGAGCAGTTTAAGCTCGCGGCTCTGCTTGCCTGCCTTATCGCCAGAACAACAATTCGCCCACAATTTTGCAGACTAAAAAACTGACTGCGCCGGAAATGTTCGGCCCCCGTTCGAAGGATGCTTATCAGCCTTCACATTTAAAACAGACATTTTCCATCGCATTGATTTTTATTAAATTGTATTTATTCTAATAGAATCTTGTGTTTATCTTCTCTTATCTTTTCTTATCAAAAATTTCAATGTGCAAAATGTATTATACATGAACCACAATATGAGTCACAAAGAAAATGCTTGAGGCGGTTAAGCTTTCAGGTTGAAAATAAAATGTAAAATTTACATTTAATAACAGCATTGATAATACGCTTAACAATGTCATTACTAAAATATACTATTTTTCTCGAATTCTAGTTGTAATTTTTATTCCTAGAGAGACTTAGCTAATCAAAACACTTTCAACACTTTCTACAGATAAAGTTTAACTTACATTTGTTTTCGTATTAACCTTATGAAGATAGTAGGAACATTTATGAAGTTGAAATAACTTTCAATTTAGATTTGGACACATTGGGAAGAACCAAAGACCCGCCAAATACGCTCATCTCAAGTTGAACGACATAAAAGCTTAGACATTTAGAGATAAACCATGTAGAGTGTATTTTGTTGTACTCTTTTAATTATAATCATAAGGAAAACAAACAAAAAGCCCTGCTAAATATTGATACAGTCAGTACTCTACAGCTGATAAGATAACCTACCAGCTTCACAAACCAAACTAACAATAAACTTTTTTATCTTTGAACAGTTCAAGCGCAGTTGGATGCAAACCTTAAAAATGCAAATATTCCAAAGTCGGTGTCCCCGGATGTACCTATCGATGAAAATGTGACCAATGCGAGCACCACTAGTAGCACTACAACCACAGCTGCAACTACAACTACTACACAGGAGCCAATCACCTCTACCACCACTACGGCCAAGCCCACACCAACGACCTCCACCACCAGCACAACTACGGAAGCACCGAGCACGACCACACCATCACCAGTGCCAACAACCACACCAAAGCCAACACCCTTCCCGGCACCTAGTGTTGGCACATGGAATAGCTCATGTATTGCTTTAAAAATGGCCGCCCAACTGAATTTTACCTACGAGACGAAAGGCAAGTTAAGGCATTCAGACCAGTGAAAGCCCCAGTTTAATAAGCTTACGTTTTTCCTTCAGAAAACAAACTAGCTACTGGTCTTTATAACATACCCAGCGATGCTAAGGTGGAGGACTTTTCATGCGAAAATAAAACCATTCAGAGTATTGAACTTATGTGGGGACCTGATGAGGCAAAGCATTCACTGACTTTGACGTTTGAAAAGGTTAACGGAAGCAGCGTTTTATCTACGATCAGCATTCATTTACCGTTGCTGAGTGATAACTTCCCTGATGCCAAGGGTATGTATTTTAATTTCCCAAATAGACCCTTCTCGAACAATGCTCAATTCAAATTCCAGAGAACGAAACCATTTTGATGACCCACACTAAGCCAGAATTCAGCACACCTGAGAAAATGTCCTACCATTGCACACGCGTCCAGAAGTTTAACCTAACCGAAAACATTGGCGACGTGAAGGCTAAGGGTGTCATAAGCGTGAGCCAAGTTCAGGCCGAGGCATTCCGTGTAAGCAACACAACAGCCTTCTCCACTGTTCATGATTGCGACAGCTCGGAAACATCCGATGTGGTTCCAATTGCTGTGGGCATTGCTCTGGCTGCCTTGATTCTGGTCGTGTTGATCTCTTATCTGTGCGCACGTCGTCGTTCCACCTCACGCGGTTACATGAGCTTCTAAAATTGAACTGCCCAGTTAAAGACAGTTAAAGAGGGAGGGCGCATTATTAAGAGAGAAATGTAAGATTGATTTTGAAATGGGCGGCGTAACATTGTTGGAAGTAATAAATATAATTTTAAAAATGGATTTTGCAGCAGGCAGTTACCTGGAGAGTAGCCCTTGCTACTTTTTATAAAATTGAAAAAGCTTATTCAATGTGCGACCTTTTGCATATGCTTGCTGCAAATATATTTTGAGGCAACGTTTATAGTTATTTTCGATAATTAAAATTTGTCAAAATTGATGGCGATAAAGGAGTAATATCAAAAAGAAGTCCACATATATGAATATAAATATAATATATATATACAAACGTGTATGTCCGGAATATGTAAAATGTCGAGTTCGCGTGCATTGTGTGCTGTTAAAATGTAATTACTCTTAAACATGATTTCTATTTCATTTCGTGTACGAACAACCAAGCGGAATCTTACAATAAAATTGATTTAAATTTTAGTCTACAAACTGTATATTGTATTTTCATTATGAACAAAAGTGTTTTTTGTTTATTTCGAACTTCAAGCTCCTAAAACGTTTCAAAATGTAATCGAAATTGTGAGGAATACAAAGACGTTTATATTTCCATAAAGCTAATACATATATTTATAAATTACGGGGGTAGATATATGTATATGCTTCACTACCTTCACAGAAACACTATTCATTGTTATGGTCCACGCCTTATAATACGAGTATAACCTTCTTCGGCCATTGTATTTACATTTTGATATTTTGCATCAAGTGATACAATACCACCATTCTCAATATATAGTATAATTTATTTCCACATAAAGAAGCTTCTTATAATATGTATTTTATAAAACTCTATAGTGATCTGACATGGCGGGTCTGCACATACATGGAGAGGTTGTATTTAATTGTACTGCTGTAGAGAATAAGGTGTGACTATATTTTTGTAAATTGTTTTCAATGCTGGGACTCCATACAAACCAACCAAGCTTGAGACTTTTGTTTGATTGCGAGAGTTTGTTAGCTGCCCAAGGACAATCAAGCTAATTTCATGCATAATTTGTCTTAATTTTTCGTGATTAATTGAACTTCATCCATGGTTTCTGTAATGTATAATATGCACTCTCATAAGATATTCGCATTCAAATTGAATCAAAACAAACAACAACTGATGACGGCACTGCACAACATCTGATTTTAACGGTCGTCTTAGACCATAAGTATCGATGCCTTCTTTGCGATACATCGATAATTTTAATATGTACTTATGTCACGCCTGAGAACATGTGTTTTTAGTTTTTATCGGGCGTTCTGGGGAAGTGGACAATGTATAGGTATTTGCTTAACATCTCGTATATTGGCACGAATTTTCGGTGAGTACTATTACCAGGTTGAATACGTTTGTCCCAAATTTACCAACGCCTTTTCAGTGGTATTCAAAAAACTATAAACAAATTGGAGGAGCCGCGTTTGGATACACACACTATTCAAGGCTGTTTGGAGTTGGCCTTGCGCGTTTTTCGTCCCGTTAACGATATACAAACCGTGCTATCGAGTCGGTAAGTTGCCTCTCAAGGACAATGTCATTTGTTATGTATATAGATACATACATAGATACAAATGTATGTTTTTACTAACCAGGGTAATTTAGCACAGACGCTGGTGTTCACGCCCTCCATTCGACGGTACATGTTGATCTACAGCGTAATGATGGAAGCCCCTATGATACAACGATATTGACTGGTGTTCTGAATAGAACGCTCGACAAGCAACGGCTGCCAATACGCGTGTTGAGTGCACAGCGTGTGGCGGACAGCTTTCACTGCCGTTACCACGCTGTGGGACGGACCTATTTGTACCGCTTTGCTGTGGCAAAGAATGGTGTTGCTGATCCAGGAAAGCTGAAAAACAAGTCATATGAGGCATTTATTCCCGTTGAGGAGATTGATCGTTGCTATTTCATGCAGTAAGCGAACTTCACATGCAATATAAATGCTTATTTTTCAGTCAAATATTTTCAGAAACTCCTCCTTTGACATTGAACGTATGCGTGCTGGATCACGCATGTTCTTAGGCATTCACGATTTTCGAACTTTTATGAGTGTTAGCCGCCAAAAGAGTCCAAGCCGTGACCATCCGATGTTCACAGTTCGTAAAATCGACCAAATCGACATACGTCCTGGTCGTAGTCTCGCTCTAGGACCTAATGTATCGTTAGCATCGGATATCTACAACTACTGGGACATTGAGATCACAGCCAAATCCTTCCTTTATAAGCAGGTTCGTCGAATTGTTGGCACGCTCCTTGCTTTAGCGACAGGTCGCATTGACGAACGGTGCATCTATCAAATGTTAACAGTGCCTTCCAAGCAAAACTGGGATCATCGGATACTACTTTCGCCTGCTTGCGGGCTCTACTTAAGCAAGGTGCACTACAGAGATACAGCTTTTGAGGCTGGAGCAACAAGTAAAATCGAAACTAGTCACTAACCCATTAACAAAACCGCCAAGATGATACTGCTGTATGAGCTGCAAAAGCGCATGGCCAATCTCAGACCCACCACCACTGTTGTTACCACCCCAACGGGCGCACGTTACGTCGAGCGTCGCAAATCTTTGACCGCTGATGAGGCAGATCCCTCCAGTCCTGTACAGCTGGAAGCACGTCAATATGGCTTCGTGGTGGACACAAAGCCTGATGCGGTACCCGCTTGCATTTTAAGTGATTTTCTCTACCTGGGTTCCCAGGATGCCGTCAGCGTTGAGAATGTGAAAAACTATAAATTGACACACATTTTGAGCGTCGGAATTGAAACACCTGACATAGAACTACCGACGACGGTGAAGTGCAAGTATTTGCCATGTCTCGATCTACCGGAGACAGATCTGCTGCAATATGTACTGCCGGTCTCCATAGATTTCATCGAGGAGGCGCGCTCCGCTAAGGGTTGCGTCCTGGTCCATTGCAATGCAGGCGTTTCTCGCTCCGCCTCTGTCGTTATTGCCTATCTGATACAGCGACGTGACATGTCTTTTGAAGAAGCATACAACCTGGTCAAATCCTGGAGACCATGCATACAACCCAACGCTGGCTTTATGCAGCAGCTAAAACAATACAATAGGAATTACGCCAATTAAACTCGTGCTTGCCATTGTAAGCAATCATACTGTCTTCTGCGATTTACATATGAGTGTTGTATTTAGTTGTGAATAATAAATGGAGTAATATATGAGTTAATTAAATATTTTAACGTTCGATAACAACTACTTCTTCGCCGGGACCGATAACATTGCGGACCTTTACTTGGTAGCCCTGGCGATCATCTGTTCGCGCACAAAAACAACATCAGCTCCGCAATGGGATACTTGTGTAGCTTTGCACAAGCAAAGATCGAATGTGGCGTGTTTTAGTTGGAAAAAGATGTGGAAGCTGTTATCAGCAACATTGACACTACTGCTACTTCTAGCGCTGCTTTCTGGCTTTGCGGCGTCCGATTGCGGGTGCAATAAGTTGAGAGAGACGAAAACCAATACAAAGGAAGAGCAGCTTGATTCAGAACAGGATCAGGTATGCCAGCAAAATGCACGTAACAAAAACACACACTACCGCGACTATTATGCTGAATTGGAGCCTGAAATTGAGGGGATGTCCCTTATCCCCGGTGGAAGCTACCACATTGGCACAGATGAACCCCATTTCCAGGCAGATCGTGAATCGCCGGAGCGTCTTGTTAAATTGAAAGACTTCTACATGGACAAATACGAGGTGTCTAATGCTAAATTTGCCGAGTTTGTGGAAGCCACGAAGTACAACACCGAAGCTGAACGCTTTGGCGACAGCTTTCTCTTTAGAACTTTGTTAACGAAGGAGCAGCGGGCGCAGCTTGAAGATTTTCGCGTTGCCGGTGCCCCCTGGTGGTATAAGGTCAGTGGTGTGAGTTGGCGAAATCCAAATGGTCCCGATAGCAGCATAAAAGGTATGTTTCATCCAACAGATAACATTGGTTTGATTTGTTAAAATTACCTATAACTGTCAGGTATTGAACAGCACCCTGTTGTGCACGTGTCCTGGCACGATGCGGTGGCCTATTGCACTTGGGCTGGCAAGCGTCTACCAAGTGAGGCAGAATGGGAGGTGGCCTGCCGCGGAGGTAAACGTGGCAAACTCTATCCATGGGGCAACAAATTGATGCCGAAGGAACAACATTGGACCAACATCTGGCAGGGTGAGTTTCCGGATAGCAACTCCGCGGCGGATGGCTATGAGTTTACTTGTCCTGTGGACACGTTCCGTCAAAACATCTACGACCTGTACAACATTGTGGGCAACGTTTGGGAATGGACTGCGGACCTGTGGCAGGAAGGCGATACGAGCCCTAACCCGAATCGTGTAAAGAAAGGTGGCTCTTACCTGTGCCATCAATCGTATTGTTTTCGCTATCGCTGTGCCGCACGTTCGCAAAACACTGACGACAGTTCGGCAGGCAATTTGGGCTTTCGCTGCGCAAAAGATGCATAGGATAGACCCAGAGGGGCTTGAAGCAATTCAATGTTTTAATAATTCTGAAAAGCATTTTATTGCTTGCTTTTACACTGGACCCCAATTCCCTACTTTTTGTGATTTTAATAGTTCGTTCGGGATTCCAAACAAAAATAGATTGAAATTTTAGTCTTTACCATAAAATTAAAGCATTAAGTTTAAGTAGAGAGTAAATAGTAGCTCGTATATTTTTGAGGACATTGTAACATATCAATATGTCGATCTTCATTTTTAGCAGATGAAGTTCATCTAAAATAAATACGCCACATAATTATTTTAAATATTAATTTGTATATTTTATTGAATTTGTATACAATAGTTTACGATTGGGACAAGCAATATTATCCAATATTTTGCATATATATTTGCTGTATTTAGTTTTATTAGTAATTATTATGTTATATGTATATTTTCGAATATTGCTGACTAATTTGCATTTTTCCTGCCATCATGGCATAAATACAACATGAAAAGTTTCTTCCACATCTTTTAGATTTTGACTATGTCTATCATATGTGCGTATGTATGAAGTTCTAAATGATAATGCCTACTATATAAGTACTACGTAAATGTCTATATTTGTGTATTTAAAGTTCTTGGTTCTTAAACATACATATGTATACACGCAGATCAAAATTTGAAACACGTTAATGGTGATCTGTTTATTTAAAAAAAAAACGACCTATCGGCGAATAAATGCGAATTTACAATAGTGAAGGGACAATAATGCTATATACAGGATGAACTAAGATTAAGGGTTGACTGAAACTTGCAGAACTAATTTACTGCTATGCATTTATACATATGGATGGCTGACTCTACGTTTAGTGTTTCTTAGGCAATGAACTGTGCCACGAAGTTCGACGCCTGGCCTTTGTAAATACAATAAGGCCTTTTTCGACCCCGATGTGGTACCCAAAACGGAAGAGACAGCATGCCTATGATCCTTCTCTCTGGCCAAATTTCATGAAATCAAATGTTCAAAAGTGGAAATACTATTTGAATATATAGTATATAGTGCAACGAATCTGTTCTGTTGCATAAGCCTTTCTTGATGATCTCTCGCTGTTCCGGCCTTCACATTAAAAAGCATTCATTAGATACCATTACGTTTGAGTGAATTAGCGTCTAAAGATGTGATTCCTTTAAACGTAGGTCTTCTATGTTCAAATGTATATTCGTGGAGATCGTGCGGTTGCCTGCGACGATCTTTGGTTTAGGCGCATTTAGGATGTTTGCTCAAAATACAATATCACAATGCAAAGTAAAAGCGACGTTGGCAATGTTGCGGATCCAAAACCGTCGGATATGCTTATTCAGATATAAGCTAGGAGGGCAGACACATTTTTATGTTGTAAAGTCCAGCGGGGCATGGGAACACTAGCGATAGCGAAGCCTGGAAGACTTTAAGCCTTTAGCGAAGGGAATTTTTCCCACCGATTTTGCGTACTGTGGCGTCTAAGAGGACAACTGTACAGCCTGCAGCATGGCCAGCTTGAGGTCATGAGCCGTCTGATTGATGTGTTCTACGGAGTCCACCATTTCCTGTACAGCGCTGCCACTCGGAAAATGCGCTGCTGCTTTTTTTGACTTGAGCACGCAGGTCCGGAGTGCATCGGAGAGGCCGTTGGTGCAGCGTAGGATTTTCTCGCGTAGCGTCTCTTTGGAAATATTGCGGTACACATTGTCTCCAATGTTGACTAGATGGTGTGCACTGACCACGACGAACTTGCCATAGGCTATGAAATATTTTGGAGGCTGATTTTTCTTCACCGTCTCGAAAAATGAATCGATGGCCTGCAGTAGATTGCCCATGTGCATGGAAATTGATTGGGCATAGTAGTACACCACCTTTTTATCCTTGTCCGACATCTGCTGCACCTTGGTTATGCTATTGTTGTTAGCCGTTGGGGTCAATGGTGCGGTTGCAACTGTTGAAGCCATCGCTGTATTCTCAGCTAGCTTGATTGCCGCATCGAATCGGTCTTTAATGTTGGGGGGTAAGGCATCACGCAATATCTGATTTCGCTTCGCCGCAACATCCTTGGACTCCAATGATACATAGTCGTAATCCTCAAGCCAATCTGCACTAGTGCGGCTACCACTACTGTTCGCTGAAGCCGACGCAGAGCCATCCACACTATCCTGACCATTGGTCGCTAAGGTTCCCGTGGGAGGCTGTCGTTTAAAGAGCAGGGAGGCATTACCCTGAATGAAGGATGTGGTGGAGCGCACATCCTCCGTTAACGTTTGCGCACATGCCATCAGCTGATCCAGACTATCCGGCGGGCGACATCCGTGTTTCTCATCATCCCTCGCCAATTGTTCCACGGACCAGCATCCCTGAGCATCCAGAGCTTCAGAAGAATCGTGTATTAGCTTATTGGCATCTCTTAAAGCACGCACCAATGGTCGCAGCTTCAACGCCAGATTGGGATCCTCCGAACGTGTCGCATTGCCCAATGCGCACTCTCCGAATTCCGCCAGATCGTGTAGCGCCGTGCGCAGTCGGAGGACCGCCAATTTCAGCTCCATGATGACTCGTTCTAGTTGCGCCCTCGAACGCCAATTGGGTACGACGAACGACAACAGCCTCGTGATCGCCATTGTCATCTCCGATTGCAGTTTAGCCAACGTGTCTAACGCAGAGTTCATCTCCAAAGGCAGCTCTTTGGTTGTGTCTAACAACTGGCCATTTGTTGGTGCTCGTCGCTCCTGTTCCTGCACGGGTGGCAGTGGAAAGTCATAGGTGGGACAGTTTGTGGAATTCTGGCGAGACGCTGTCAGCTGCTGTATGGCACGCACAGCAATTGGATTACGACGAGGTATATCGTAGTCGGGCATATTGGCCAGCGAGGAGCGGTTGGAAGAGGAGAAGGACAGGGATACGCTATCGCTGGTCAACAGCGAGGAGACCGAGCTGCTGGGCGTCATTGTGGGCTGCTGTTGCAAAAGGCTGGGATTTAGAGAACGTGGCACATCGTACGATTCCTCCTCGATGGGGGCATTCTTAAGCGACTCAAAGCGTTGACTCAGCGCTGAGGCGGAAGTGGGCGTGCGACAGGCTCCTGCCACGTTCTTGGGACTGTCATAGTTGACGGGTGTAGCAGGCTTTGGTATGTCGTAGGTTTCGAATTCCCCTCCACTGCCACTCCCGTTCGATGAGACTGACATGATCGAAAGGTTCTGCAGGTTCTGGTAGATGCTATCGTTACTATAGATCTGGTGGTCCACTGACAATGGAGTGGGTGAGCCGTTGATATGACTGCGATGCGGCCTGCTGGTACCCTGTAAATGCACAAAAAGATGGGATGTGTTAGAAAAGTTATCAGTTATCTACTTAATTTTACTTTTCACAACTTCGTAGGTAAAATAAAAATCCGACTACAAGTTTAACAAACCAGAGGAAGTTGGTGCAGAGTAAACCTACGCTACACCAAAAAGTTTCCCCGTCCCCTTTCCCAAACTCCAACAGCTTATCGATTTTCTAATTGTTTTTTTTTTTTTGCTTTGCCGTTCATAAAAGGGCTTAAACGTTTCCTGGTACTTTCAGATCCTTTACCGTTCACTCACCCAACTGCATTGTTGCTGCTCACGCCCCTACTATTTATCACATTTTGTTGCTAATTATTGTAAAAAGTGTATCTAAGATTCATGCGTAAAAAATGCGTAAAAATGCGTAAAAAACAGCGTGCACGTCGCTGGTCCAGAGGAAAAACTCGACTAAAATCCGATTGGGAAAATGCACCCAAGGACTTATTTACAATAATGGGAAATTTTAGTGCGCACGCGTCAAGAGTCGTGCAAGAAGAAACCTGTATTCGAGTACCGGTCTATTCCTTCACTGCTTGCAGTTCAATGCCGTTCAGTGTCAAGGTAGCGCGACCACAGGCTAAAGGACTTGGCCAAACAAATGCTTCGTGAGTGTTGGAAGGCAGGGTGTTGGCATAAAAGGATCCCACTACAGTGGAGAGCATGTGTAATATAAATCTAAACATATTCGAATTAAATTTTAGTCGCAGCTCAAATACTTAGTTTTATATTTCATTAATAATTGGGATATTTTCTATTAATCTTTCATCAGAATGTTGTTGAATGTTATTTTAAACTTTTTCTGGGAGCAAGAAATCAAGATGGAAAAATGGCTTGTTTAACATATATTGAACATTAAATTTTAAAATCGGCTATGTGGCTAAGGCTAAAATGCTTACTCATTTTTTGAGGGTCGATATATGCATATAAATAGTATAGACGTATGTTACTCTATTGTATTTGCAAGAATAAAAATCCCAAGTCCACGTAAGGGACAGCATTTATTATATTTGGCTATTGTCATAGTGTTAATTAATTAGATTATATATTTGTATACGTGTAGCTCAGATTAACTAAGGTGCGCGAAATAAGTAAGTAGGACAACACATTTTTTAATATTTCAACAAAATAAATTTGTTTTTAAACTTAAATAGGTAACAATTCATATGAGTCTTTGGCAAGGCCATACAAATAAAAGTAATAGATAAAAAAAATAAAATAAAATATATCCATACGAAATAAGTAAGTAGTAGGAAAAATCGTACTTCTTGATTTTTATTTCTAAGACAACGGCCTAATTTAATATGTAGAGTTTAAATTGACTCTTCTATTTTATTTAACACGGCCAATTCGTCCTTACATAGAATTTATTAAAGATTGAAGGACGGAAATATCCAATTTTCCCCATTCTTCAATAATGGATTCTTTTAAGTCTTTTACACAATTAAACGGTTTTCTATTTAGGTAAACTCGCTGAGATAAAATGCCCCGCTTCAATAGTCTTCCTTAAGGCTAAAACACCGCCAAATACTGGCATAGTGTTAATGCATATATTAATTGGTTTATATTTTGTTATACGTGTAGCTCAGATTAAATATTTTAGAATGCACAAGGGGCTTACCAAACAATGCATTTCGATTTCGTAATATGGTATGCACCCCAACTAAATGCGAGATGCCTGATGCCTGATGCTTGATGGGCTATACGACCATATGTCCTCGCCGCATAATGAAATATTTTTGCGGCATATGCCGAATTCATCAATAGTTACCCCACTCGATCGTTGCGCACGTACCCCAGGACCACGCCTATCCCAAAACCGACTGCAAGCGAAATGAATCGATTTGTAATTAAGGAACCGTTACGACGCACCCTGCACGCGCGTCTAAAGGACCAGGAACGCCAAATAATATTATGCGAGGCAACACTTTCGGGCCGCAGGCTACCTGAAGTGCCTAAAGGGACCCTCGAAACTGAAGTAGCAATTGACGCGTAACACGAGTCAAACTTTAGCATTGCAAACAAACAAAGGCAGCGATAAAAGGATATTAGAGTCAGTCGGAGGCGACATCTGCCGAGCCAAAAATATTTGAAAAGTGAAACTGCAGCCACAAAATACACGCCAGGCATAAACAACTCGCTTATCTATTGGAAAAATCAGCGCAGCTGAGGAACAAGTATTGGAGGCAGCTGAGACAATGCAAGTCGGTTAACATCATTTGAAGCGATGTGAACTGGTCAAGCTATAGAGCCCAATGGACCATTTGTAATTTGAGTGTCTACTATACAATGGTTGTGCAGATTCTGGTCGAAGAGGAATCGTTAGAACGCAGCAGGACGCGCCTTTTTACCTACATTTGCGCAATTGCCCGAGTTTCTCACAAAAGGAGGTCTAGTTGTCCACTTTTCCAACATCATGCTGATTTTCCGGCAATTTTGTAGGGCGAGCTAAAAATAATATTTTCATTTCTTTTCTGCCTGCTATTTTAGTTTTCCCTTGTTTTTCTGCCCCCAATTTCTCCTTACCCACTTTTTATAAAAATGAAAATCATTTTGCGCTCTCACTGCCATACTATATATCAGATTATGTATGTTGGCTCGATTGTGTTTATGACATATTTGGGGCATTTTATAGAGCCGCAAAACCATGAAATGGGCTGGGCCTCAGCGCGACATGGGACGGGCAAGGCAGACTGGAATATAGGGCAGAAGAAAACCATATGGAAATGGCCAGAGGCAACCCATTAAATGTTTCTTGGGGGCGCGCACTTTAATTGGCATTTGATTGCCTTGCTTGGTCATTCGGTGTGCCTGTTTCCTCTTCAACTGACTCAAACCTCACTTTTAATTGCATTTTACTACTTACATATATACGAGTGCATACATCTAGAATGTACTATATGTACGAGTATGTACATAGCTGTAGATTGGAATTAACAACATTCGCCATTGAAAAATGTCTTCAGCCATTCGGAGAGCAAATCTTAGACTCTGCGCTTGTCAATCCATTCTTCCAACTTTATTGCTTTGTGTCTATAAAAATTCGAGATTCAAACAGTAGCTGTGTAAATGATAAAAATCTGAGTAAGTGCACGGCATTTTAATTTCGTCGCTGCCGCACCTCACACCTGCAACTGTCAGGACGGAGACAGTTCTTTCTTCTTTCACAATATTTCGGCATTTTCTCACGTACGGTTCGGGAAAGATTTGTAAAAATATGCTAATTGTTGCAAGGTATGGAGAGAAGGGAATTCAGGTAGATACATACATAGGTGATACAGGCGAGCCAAATGGCCACAGGCTAGCGTTTTTGTCAATTCATGCTGCAATCATTCAATCAGGCTTACATTTTGTTTGCTGTACGAATATATTATTAATGCAAGTGGCTCATGTTTCAAGCTTAATTAACAACAATACGCATATGTGGCGCGCTTTAAGAGCCCTCGAAATTGGCAACGCGCTGATGGCAGTCTTTTTATGACTGGATTCATTACTTAATAAAAAGATGTATGACTTTGCAGTTGCATATTTATATCAAAAAAGCACCATAATGCCTTATACGTTCATTTGAAATCATTATTGCCACCTTAGATGTCCGGCTTACTTACGAGTCCAGCATTTAAACTAACAATATGGGCAATTGGATTAGAAAAACAGGGGATTAACAGAGGCGCTGCTGTGATCTGTGGAGGACAACAGCAGCTATCAGCGCCAACTATTCCTAGGGATTCCATATCATGTTTTGGCAAGACTGAGAATTTCATTTAGTTTGCAATTGATAATAATTTAATCAGCCGACATGTAACGTAATGTGTTGAAGCAATCGCAATTCGCAACTATATGCAGAGAGTGCAAATATAATTTGTACAGAATATTTAAAACAGTTTTGATATCAAAGCGGACACTAAGTACTTTGTGGAAATTTCACATTTCAATATAAAATTTTCTTCTTGTGGACGAAACAGTATTCTCGTTTGGGAATATCTGCTGTTCTGATTCGTTGATTTGCGTTTGTTCTTCTAAGTCTTGACTCTCTAAGCATGCTGGAATCGTGTATTTCTGCCACACACATTGATAAGGTTTGATCTTATTATATTCGGTTGAACCTCTCGTTCAGTCTGAATTTTGTGCCAGTAAGTCAGAATTTTTTTGGCAGTCAATAATACAACAATAATGCGAACAAAAGTGAAGAATCAACCAACCGCCTAAATAATTGAGATAACAACTATCCTAAGTTTTAAGTTGGGCCAAATTACAGATATGTACATCTGAAATTTGTTTTAAATCTGTTCAGTAGTTTCGGAGTCTATCGATGACAAACCTTGTGACACGATATTCATATGCATATATAGAAGATACATAGAAGATTGTATTTGACATATTTTCCATTATACACGACCATTAGATATTGGCGAATTCAACCAAATTCATAAGCTTTCTTTTCAACGTATCTGCCTTCGTTAGAGCAGGCTACTTACAAGCGTTAGCTTTGTCAAGACCTCTTCGATCTATGTTGGCCTATTCGAGTGTATCCGCTAGGAATACGTGCTAAATTTAGTAACAAAGTGTGACCAAATCAAACCGAGGCGGATGCACAGCAGCCAGAGCCGTGCAGAAACACCAGACCATACCAAATGCTGTTTGACTCCAGCAACAACAACAACAACAACAAAAGCAACAGAGGCAGCACTTCTCCAGCAAAGCAGGCAGCGAAAAAGTTGACTTGGCTGGAAGGCTTTGTACGCGTTTGTTTGCGCATTTTTGTGCGACTTTGACCATTTTTGGTCAATAAAATAAAAATGACATGTTTTCCTCACACAAACTCAAAACTCTTTTTGGAAATATCAGCTGCACCGGTCGTCCGCTGCATTGGCTGCATCGGCTGTTGGCTGTTGGCTGCTGGCTGCTGTTGCTGTTTTTGTTGCTATGGTCGTGTTGCCATAAATTCTCATCGCTCGGATTGCGGCAGTTGGCCATAAGGTGCGCACGCTGTTCACTTGACTTGGTCTTATGGGCAGTGCGTGTGCCGGTCTTGGCTACCACGTTATTGGCAGCGCAGACTTATGTGGGCTCAAGGAACTTGAAATTGTCACAAGAATGCCATTGGACCATTGAATGTATATACATATGTAGTGTATACATAATCGTAAGATGTTTGTGTGTCGACTGAGATTTGTTTTTGGTCTGAAGTGAACATTTCTGTGGCTTGGTCTCCAATGCGTCTCATGTGGGCTGTTGCCCAACTGTTGCATAATTTATATTTCCGTTCCCAATTATTCATTACTGTGGGCATTTTAGTCTACATACATGCATATAACTTCCAAAATGTCAGCACAGAATGCGCCTCCATTATTAGAAACTATTTGTGGATGGTGAAAATGTGAAAATGTTTTCATTTCATATTTTCAAGCTCATAAATGTCAGCAGACGCCTTTCATTGACTCCACTCTATGGTGAACTGGTCCCCGCAATAAACTTTGAAATTGTTTACCAATTGCTGTGCTAGCTTTTCATGTTTATGGCCCAAAGCTTGTTGCCACTTATGGTAGGCCAAGCAGCGACGCATAAGTGTCCAGAAAGTTGCAGTGCGGTACATAGACGAGCTTGAGGGCGAATACACTTGAATACACTTGCTACTCAAGCCATCGCCATTTCTTAGATCTTTTAATTTAAATGATTTTTATTGCGTAGGCAGTAAGTTTTCTGCTGGAAATGACAAATACTTTCTCTGCGACATTTTCGACATACCATACAAAGACTTATTGCATAATAGATACATTTTTCTGATTCTCTTCTTTGAAGGGTGTGTCTTTAGGAGCTTGTTGGTTTTTATTATACTGGCAATTTGTCTAAGCTGATAAATAGTATTCATAAAATACTAAACCATATTGTAGGGTGCTTTGGACTGCCGCTTAGCCCTAGTTATGCTATTCATGTTTATCTACATAAACTCTAACGATTTCGAGTGGGCTTACAAATTTGAGGTCGCGTGTGATTTTCATTTTGTTGCTTTCGGTTGTTGCCTCGAATCAATAAAATTTTACAGTAGACAACTAAAATGAGAGAAAAATAACATTTAATTTTTACTGCAACGCGATCTTCTGATGTTGCTGCTGCTGGTGCCTTAGCAGGCGTCGCCAAGCGTTTGTTTTATGGCTGATGGCGCATTTCGTGAAATGGTCGAAATGCGAAGGTTTCACTAAACGCAATGCACCGATGTAAAATGCAATTTGCAGCTTTCAGCTTGGTGGACAATAACCGAAATGGTAGTTGGGCGGACTGCGAAACGGAAGGGGAAAGCCAGCCTCTGTATCTATGTATATGTATCTCTCGAATGCGCGCACCGACTGCGGCGTTTTGGCTCGGCGTTTATTTGAATTTGAATTTATGGTTTCACTTGCAGTGCGAGATTGATAGCCGCCGATAATGCGAGGAAATGTTTATGGGGCTGTAATTTTGACTTCAATTTATTTGATTTGCCTTTACACTGAGCATAACGGCAGGGGAAAGTCGTTGCGAAGTCAAAGCACAACACCCAGGCCCCATTCATGGTTGGGGGCGTTCGTTCATTGTGTTGATTATTCATAAGTGGCAAAGTTCAAAGTTCCACGCGGTGATAATGGCCAATTAACGGTTGGTTAGGTAACAAAGGATGCAACAGTGGGCGATGCCAACAGAGTCAAGGCTTGGCAACACCATTTAGATAGCAAATTCATTTTTTCTGGCAGCTCATCGTTAGGGCGTAGTTGATTTGAAAAGCTGGAAGAAAACCTTTATGTTGAAATCTTTTATCGAGATTGAATAAATCTAATCTGTTCTGTATTACTTTATGAGAAGGAGCCGGTAATCAAGCCATAAATCAAGATCAATTAAATACAATAAATGGTGAATGAACCGTCTAATGAATATTTGCTTTTCATTATTTAGAAATGGCCGGGCGTGTTTCCTATTTTCTATTTTAAGAGCCCGAACTGGATCTTTAACACCAAGGAAATGTGTCCCCTGGAATCCCATTAGATCACAGCAATCTTGACTTTCTATTCAATAAATTGTATATTGGCTCGAGTATGTTCGGGTATATCCCTGATAAGCTCAAGTGGTTTTTTCCTTTCAGCTATTCGATCGTCTTGTGGCAGTGCCGTGTCTACAATTGGCCAACAATTTAATGCTGTCCATTCATTGACAACTTCCGAATGCAAATTGTTCGTTTCCTCTAATTGCTGGCATCGAATTTCAAAATCAGAGAAAACAAATAAAACGCATATTCAACTGACAAATTGGCAAATTATGTGCCGAATGCAAAAAATGCGAAAAGCAAAACCCGTTGGCCCCACACGCATCAGCTGCAGTTTCGATTCAGGCTTCCAGCAGCATCCATCAGGCAGTTCCTCAATGCCTGGCAGTTCGGTGCCAGTTCAGTTTGTCATGCACGGGCAGAGACTCGGCTTATTAATTGCACAATTACGACACGAAGTTGACGTGCCGAGTGAAAGATGGCCAAGACGTATAACAGGGACTGGGCTGTGGGGTCTGATGGGGACTGATGACCGAATGATGGAAAATGCGCCAAGTGGCAAGCGGTAAGAAGAAAGCGGAAAGCGACAAAGAGGCAAAGAGGAGCAGAGGTACAGAGAAATTACTTTCTTTCACTTTCAAGACGGATATCATAATTCAAAAATGCAGTAGCCACGGCCCATCTCGAAATGCTCGCAGATGGAGTTGGAATGGAGTGCGTCGCATGGGGCCCGCATAAATCCCATGGCCCGACATCGTGCTAGCAGCCAAAAATAAATAAGCCAGACATTGCAAATTGCAAAAAAATGAAATCAATTAAAAACATTTTGCCAGCCGACAGAGCCGGGCAACAACAACAACAACATCGCCAACAACAGCAACCTCATCGTCGGGCGAAGGAAATGCAGACGAAGCGTAAAATTAAGAAATTGACAAACTGGCTGCAGGACAAATGCAAATCTGCTCCGCGAGCTGGGGGGGGAGAGTGAAGAGCCAGCTAATCACCCAGCTTGCACTTACCTTGTTCGATGATGCATGCCACGACATGCGTGAGCCTCTGGCCTGCGATGTCTGTGACTGCGATTGCGACTGCGACTGCGACTGCGCCTGGCCTAGCTGCTGATTCAAATGCAGCTGACTGCCCCCCACCTCTCCGTTACCAGCGCTGATGATCGAGCTGTTCTCGTAGATTTCCGTCGAGCAGATGGAACTGTTTAAGGTGGCTGTGCTGGCAGCCAGCGACGGTATGGGTGAGCTGGCGGGTGACGGCGAGAAGAAGCCCGAGTCATAAGAGTTTATAACGCGTAACCGGTTGCCGGGGCACAGACCCTGTGGAAGAAACAAGGGGAAGGATAAAATGAGAAAGATTAGTATAGGTGATTGGTATAAAAACTCAAATTAATTTTTATTCAAGAATATTTATTTTTTAAATCCTAATTTTACACATTAGGCATTCGTATATCAAAATAAATCTCATCTGTATTTAACAATAAGTTTAATTTAACTTATAAATATAACAGTATAATTAAATAAAATTTCCCTAGAATTAAAAAAAAAATACGGAGCGAGCTCCATATTGATCTCGTTTTAATTATTGAATGATCCTTTAGGTGCCTAATATTCCATCAAATTTTAAAACTTATAATAAAACTGCTTGTTGCTTCAATATTACTCAAAATATCTAAAAATGTTTTTATTTTCGATATCGTTGACTGATTTAAATTTAAGGGTCCCGGTCAGATGCAGAAATAATTCACATAAATTCTATAATAGATTTAAAGAATTATAACACTTCCTTTTTTTAGCTTTATTATTGGCTTTTGATTGAAATATATGTTATAATTATGCGGCAAAGTACTCAGAAGATGTAGAGAATATAGAGAATAAAAAAAAGCTTGGTAGCATTCTTCCTTTTTCAGGGAAAATCCGTTTGTAATTATAGCTCATGGCTAATTCATATAACTCAATTGATTTCGATTGTCTTTTAATTAACTCAATGCCGTGAATTTTTAATCATAAGCGAAATATTTGCCACAATTTTCGTTTTTTAATTGCCAACGACATTTGCTGTCAGTCTTCTCAAAAAAATGAATTCCATGTTGCCGTCGTCGTCGGTTAGTTGTTGTTGTTGTTTTTGTTGTTGGCATCTGTTTCGGAGTCGTCAAAATGTTCCCATTACAACTTCAAAGTCGCGACTGCACAATCTTGTCAACATGTGTTTAATTTTGCGGCCTACTCGTGTGCATTTCGATTTTATTTTAGCCATAAACATGTGCAATTTTCGTTTAGTGGCTGCTGAGAAATTTATTCCACAGTTTGTGCTTTGAAATATCTATTTTTTCGCTATTCGATCGTAAATATATATTCGTACTCATACTCGTACATAGTAAGTATAATAGATGTTTCTGTTGGCGTCGCCTCAATTGACTTTTTTGGGTTAATTGTTTCTATTAAAAGTGCGGCCACTTTTTAATTAACGGCAATTGTTGCTCGTTAGTATCCATAGCGCCTCGCATTTCGGGCCGATTTTGATTTCATTTTTAATACGTGTTTTCACACCAGCAACAACAACAACACCACATCGATCAGTGTGTATGTGTGTGTGTCCGTATATATACAAGTATATATACAGTCAATTGAGTTGTCAGGCGCAAAAAAAGCGAAAAGATTAATTAAAAATTGTTGCAATTTCATAAGCTCTTAAAAAAAAAACTACGTGCCGAATTGTTTTCGTGTTTTTCTCGCTGTTGTTGTTGGTAATATTTTTTAGTCGGCGTCTTTGTTGCTAATCAATTTTTAATGAGTTTACTCCAAGTTAAGCGTGTGTGAACTTTAAGAAAACGTTTTTGTTAAAAATTATTCGCCATTGAAGTTTTGAGAGAAACATTTTAACGAAAAGTCTGTGGGGGGCCTAACCGGAGCAGAGGGTCAGGGCTGAGGTGACTAGGTTAGTCTAAATTGCTAAACAGATCATTTCCTAGCACATATTCTAAGCTATTTATCTTATTTTAAGTATATAATTGTGACACACACACACATGAGATAATATTAATTATTCATATTTTCGCTAATCCGATCTGCTTGAAAAGGGAAAAATATTTTAAAAGCCTGTTCGAGTGCTTATACTTTTCGTCAACAATTTTACCGCTTCGCTGTGTCCTTAATTCTAGTAAAAGCTATTTTTTAGTATTGTGTTTACTAGATTTTCATAATGGTTTTTGTAAGTTCTAATAACATTTCTGACTCAATTTGTCTCTGAACCGGAGAGGAGCTAGCCGAAGAGCTAACAAGAGAAAAATTCATAATAATTCATAATTCATGTCAACTAAGTTAAATGCTTTAATTTATTTATAAAACACTTTAGTTTAGCTGCACACACTGTACTATTTCGATTTAGAGTACTAAAACTTTTGACTTCAGACAGATTCAATATCCAAAAAAAATAAAAGTCAATGGGAAAGGAAATGCAAAATTAAACACTTTGTTTTTTTTTTTTTTTGTTTGTTAAGTTTTAGTGTTGAATTATATTATAAAAATGCTTACAAGATTGGCTTTGCAACAAAGCATTCTTCTGTGTTCACATAGTTCTGACTGATTTCTAATTTACTTTCAAAAACTTCCTTCCCACAAAACGCTGTTGGAGATATTTTCAACAACTGTTAAACAATTTGTTGAAGATTTTATTGTACGCTGTGCATAATAAAGTTCACAAGTTTGCCTCTGAGAACTTTCGACACCCTCATTCCATAAACAAGTTGCACTCTGCCCTCATCAAGCTCCCGTCCCTTCCCCCTTTCCCCACCAGCACCATGTACTGCGGTAATCGCGCGTAATGCCTTTCGAACATTATTACATCTGCAGACACAATTAAAGTGCCAAAAAATAAATTTATATGCACATTCACAGCAGTGTAATCCGCGCCCGCATGGTGCGCCACCACCCCGTTCCGGGCAGCAGCACGTGTCCATAGGGCGCCTAAGAAAGCATACATAATTATCATTATCGTCGCCATCATCTTCATCTTCTGCTCTTCCTAGAGGGCAGGGGCACAAAAATCGTTTGCACAATGGCGCAGAACGTAGACGGCTGGCATCACGCAGACAAAAAATGTTTCATAATTAAATTATAAATTCAGTTGGAGAATATCATTTTCGTTTTTTAATTTTTCCAATTTCTTGCTTTCAGATGAAATGTAAAATTACTTGAAGCCTCAACAGAAAGCAAATGGGAAATTATGCAAATGCCTGATTGGATAATTAAAATAAAAATGCAGACAGACATGAAAACGTCTGCATTTGGAAATGATGAGGACTGGGAATAAGGGAGCGAGACAAGGAGATTGAATAATTGAGTGCTTCGCACTAAATTAGAACAAATGTTCAAGAAGGCAGCAGAAAACTCAATCGGATGGATTCATTGCTGTACCGTTATGTACAATAAAAGAAAATTTTATCAAAGGGCGTTACCGTATTAATTCCATAAATGTAATTGGGGTGCTTTTTTTAAAAATATACATATTTATCAACAGAAACTAATTTTCTATTTTTGGTGATAATTATAATTTAAATTAAGGCCTGCCACTAAAATCATAACAGTTTCTAAAAATGGTTTGAAATTCTGAAACTGTAGCTCCTAGAAACCCTTAAGACGCATCAAATTTTCTTAAACTATTAAGTTTTCAAAATTTGGTTTTCAGAGAGGGAGAAAAACAAAGGCTTCTACTTGTGTTACCTTAAGATTTACTCGTGCATTTCGTACCCTTCGATTGTCTATTTGTAGATCTAACTTCGCTTCAGATGAACCTCTGTGTTCTAATTACAAGCACAATCATTTTTCACACAACATATCCTTCGAAGACTACATTAAATCAATTTCATCATTAATATACTTGCAACTTCATTCTGATAATCTCTAATCCTTACTGAATCCCTACAAGTAGTAGTACTTGTTCCACTTGTTTGAATTTTATTTTTAAGTTCTACAATTTAAGATAATGATGAACACGTTATTTATTTAATTTAATTATAGTTAACAAAGAACTGCTAACTTTGTAAGAAAAAGAACAATGTAAAAAAGAAATTTTAAAAAAACTTATAAATATACAAAAGAATTCAATATATTAAAATGAATTTAATTTTCGAGATTCCTACCTTTTTATCGCGCAGTGAACATAACCACCAGCCCTTGTAGCCTTCCGTATCCTGTTCGATGACGGTAAGAATTTCGCCTTTCTTGAAGGGTAATTCGTCGGGTGTGTCGGGAATATTATCATACATGGCCTTTGCATATAGTTTCTGAAATAAATCAAGAAAATAAAAAAACATGTTAGTATAACAATTAAATCTGGTATAAAATGCTCGTTTTCTTTCTGTTCTGCTCTTAGTTTTTGTGGCTTACCAAAATGAAGCAATTTTGCTCACGTTCTGCCAGCCAAGTCTAATGGCCAAAATGGCGTGTTGGCGACGTTTTTGCCAACTTCGCGCTTCTTAGAACCCAACAACAAGAACAACAACTTTCAAGACAAAACGTTGGCAATGACCGACCCCGAGTTTACCAGCCGTAAACATCATTCAGATGAACCCGTCTGCAATGCCTCTTCCCTATCGGGGTCTTTCTTTCAGGTAGCCAGCGCAATTATGCGAGAATTTTGCCCAAAACATAAATCAACGCTAAAATGCAAAAAGTTGGAGTTGAAGGAAAAAAGAAAGCAAAGTCGAATGTTGTGTGCTGCTGCCATGCGCCTTATTAGTTTACCCAGAATTTTAGCTAAACTTAGCTTAAGCTAAGCTTAGCGCACAGACCGGGAAAGCTGTTGATATACGATTTCAAAAAAAATTGTACCGGACCATAATATTCAACCACTCAATTCTTATAAACAACACAAGGAAAATTTGATTAAAACTACAAATTCCTAATGAAGACAACACAAAAATAATTATTAAACACCTTTAAGAAGGAGTATTTAATTATAAAAAGTATTAAGTTACTCATTGATGAACACTAATTTCCATATTTCTCTACGTTTAATTTAAAGTTCTCATAAATTTATTACTTCATTTTAAATTTATTTTTCCCAGTTATTGAGAAATGCCACTCCTAGTGTTCGTAAAAGGTTGTCCCATACAAGTTTTAAGAGAGAGCTCAATTAGGCCAACATAGGCGCTATTACTAGCATACTCTACTACTGCCCTGCCCTGTACTTAGAATTTCATCTATGGCTGTAAACTGAGGGCCATATGAGGAGCGCGATCTAAGGCTTGTGAATGAATGAGTTTGCTATGTGAGTGCTGTGTGTGATAATGGAGTGTCGGGTTAAATGTGTTGCTTTTAATTTTGCCACCGCATCGAACAAAAATCCGAAGCGCTTTGAACTCGCTGCCGTGACTGTGAATGTGGCAGCGGCAAGGTTTCAAGCAACAAGCTTGGAACTTGGAACACTCCCCCTCTACTTGGAACAAAACACTGCTGGCTTACTTAACAAGAGCTACGATATCGTGTATATTGTATATACATATACATACAAGCACACACACACACACACACACAAATACAGTGATTATATAGCGCGCAATCGTCGTTGAACTTTCAACTCAGTTTTGAGTTTTAAACCCGTTTCGCATTTAACACAAGCAATAGCACACTCGGTGGTCGGGGGTTCGTTATAGAGCGCATTTTATTCTACTTTTCAATTTCGAAAGCCGAAACCGTTCAAATGTCAAAAGAAATGAGCGCACTTGAAGTTCATGTGCAGGGCACACGGCGGCAGTTGATTACGGTTGAGACGGCAACTCCGGGGCAGCAACAATGACACTTGAACGGCGCGTTGATCAAACAAAATGCGGCAACTACAACTCTAAATACAACCACAAACTGCCGCTAAAATGCTGTTACATCAATACCTCTGGACAGGGCATGGTGTTTGTAACTCAGAGCAGAATGCATCAAAGATCAGTGATGGCCTATATATTTAGCTCACGTAATCGTATCAGCTATACATATATAGCTTGGATTGGATTGGATATGGAACACCTTCTTTGTTTCAATTGAAATTCACACCAGCTAAGGAATTAATCGGTTGAAAGATAATATCAACTACGTTTAAAAGTTTATGTTTCCATTTATATCTAGTCCATTCTTTATCTGATTCCCTTTAAACAACCTGAATGGTTGTCTGACTGAAGCAACTACTTACTGGTAGCTATTCATGTAATAGTAGTATATGGGACGAGAGAGAGCTGGAACAATAGAGCACTGAAAATCGTGGCGTGTTATTAATTAAATTTGAAGATAATATTATATGGATAATTGCAAAAGCAGTATAATAACTTGAAATATACAAATAGTTTTTCAAAATGTTCTCATTCGGCAGTATTACTAGATGTCTCAGAATGAAATGACTGTCTTAAAGACAAATAGACGGAAATATGATTACAATTGCTTTGTTTGTTTTCACTGAATCACATAGCAAGAAGGGTATGCGCAATTCGGCGCCTCGATAATATTACATATTTAATATGTGTTTCTCTCTTTCCATGCATTCTCATTAATACGCGTACCTGGGCTTCCTCTCGAATGTCGAATCTCGGGTTGAGTTTTATTACCGCATAGGCAACTCCTGCCCTGCACTTGGACTTGTCAGGGTTGCCATTGTTGTGTGTGCATTGTTGCATTTGGCGTTTTGTTTACGTTTGAGATTTCTACGCATTTGTCGTGCCTTGCTTTCCTCGCTTTTATTTGAATAGTTTTTTTATACTCTGTACATGAAATGTACAAGAGTATATTAGGTTTGCGGGAGCTGAAAAATGTAACAGGCAGAAGGAGGCGTGGCAGACCCCACAAAGTATATATATTCTTGATCAGCATGACGAGACGAGTCGATCTAGCCCTGTCTGTCTGTCTGTCCGTCTGTCCGTCTGTCCGTCTGTCCGTCTGTCCGTCCGTATGAACACCTGGATCTCAGAGACTATAAGAGATAGAGACACCAAATTTTGCACGAAGATGCGTTATGTGTGTATTCTATACGAGTTTGTTTTATTTTTTTGATTTTCCCCCCCACTTCCCCCCTATGGGGGTTTTCCCGATTTTCCATTCGTATAATCGCCTATATCTCGGAGACTATAAGACCTAGGAACACCAAATTTTAGTCCCAGATGCCTTATGTGAATACGCAGAAAATGTATATTTTGGAATTCCCCTCCCTCCCCCCTCTACCCCGCAAATCGTAACTCCCGTAATTCTTGGAATTTCTAACTAAAATTTTGGAAATACCCCCAGTTAGTTATTATGTGTCCGTATGCCAAATTTCATTATGATAGACCGATTTAACAAGAAGTTATAGCCATAAATATATTTGCTGCTGCAGCGCTGCTCAAGCGCTGCCCGCGGCTGTTGTTGATGTTGCTGTTTGGTTGACTGCGAAAATGCTTACACAGACACGAATAGATGCGCATAGGCATACATAGACTCACACAGACGCAATTGCTATGTAAATGTGCAATTATAAACCCTTTACGTGAGTTCGAATACCGAGAGAGGTAAAATCGATCAAATTTTTTTTTTTATTTTCTTAATTTTTTTTATTTTCTATAATTATTGTAAACATATGTACAGAGTATTTCGAAGTCGGGACACCCGACTTTAGCTTTTTTACTTGTTTAACATGCCGCTAATTGAAAAAGTCAATATTTGGAGTTCGGTTTGGTCTGTGGCTGAGATTGGAAGTTTGAAGTTCCGCTTGGCGGCGGCGACAGTTTTATTTTTCAACAATTGTGTTATAAGGAAATGCTTGTACACTTTATTTTTGCTGTCGCTTTTGTTGTAGGTAAATAAAATTAAATTGCTTTTCTCGTGTGAAATCTGTGGCTTGTTGTCGGCTCACTTTAATTGGTTTGTTTAAAGCATTTCTTAATGCGATCCATTGACATAAAGTCCGTGGAGATGGGGCTTTGAGTTGCCACTGGACCACGCCATTAAGCTTGGAGTATGCCTTTACAAATTATACATTTAAATGTTGCAATAAATTATAACAAAAAAATATGTGCAAAAATAAAATACTTTTGCCCTTCGGGCATTTTGTGGTTCCTTTCATTTGGAGCGCGTATAAAACAAAGTGAAAGACCACGAGCGATTTATTGTTTTCAATGGCAAATGTTCACACACATGTGTCCACGATCGAGGTCCCTCTCCTTTTGATAATGGCCCGCAACACATTTACAAACTCGATTTAAAAAAGGCTACACATAAACCTAAATTTTTATTTATTCTTTTGCTCTTCGTTCGATTCGTTAAAGTTTATTCACCACCGCACATCAAACGAAGTCATTCAATTTTGATGATATTTCTTCCCAAATTAGTACTCTCAGCATATCCCAACAACTGAACAACCACATACAAAGTGTACATACCTACATATGTACATATATATTCGCATGTATGTAAACATAGCTAACCTCAATTTCGCACTCTATGCTGTGAATGATTAATGTGTTGAAACTGTGTGAGGGGTATGAGCTTAAATTTTAAAAACAAAACTGTAAAGATGTGCTTGGGCACATCAAAGATTATTTACTCTTATATAGTATATAGAGCCTTTTATGAACTCTTTTAAATAAAATTAGTGGAAATATCTAAACAAAAGAATCTTTTATATAAAAGAAAAGCGATAATTAAGCTCTAGCTGAAAATGTCGGGTTTGGTTTGAAACCGTTCGACGGAAATGATATCATGATTGAAAAATGTTTTTAAAGAGGGTTTTGCCAGTTTTATCAACAATATTAATTTATAATATCAATAATATTAGTTAATATACAGAGCATAAAATAATAATCTTAGCAGTGACAGTGAGTGCGTTAAAATATTAATACTTCACCCTAGGTTTACTCTATAAATTGTTTGTGAGCTTTAACCATTTAACCAAAAACCTAAGTGCAAATTTGCGTTATTTTTATGAATCATATAACAATATAGAAAAGAAAAACACAACAGCCGATCTAACTAGTATTTCGGAGTCGAGATATGTGTAAAAATAAACTTCAAAAGTAAGAAAAAGAAACAAAATAATTGCCTCAGGTTGTCCAAACAATTTGCTCAACTTCTGATGGTTGATGACTTGATGTGCATGGCTGATGTTTGGATGATTCGTCTGTTGTTTGGCTTTTGCGTCTGGTGGCGAGCTTAAAGAGTCCCGACAAGTATGACAATTTGATTTTGAAAAGCCATTAACCGCATTAGCCGAAAGTCGACAGAAATGCGCAAAAATAAAAGAAATTCAAGGAATGGGCTTGGGGTTTTGTTG